CCGCAACCCCAACATTACTGAATCAGTAAAAGAACAAAGCATTACTGTGATCAGGCCTCGTGATTTAACAATCTAACATTACACATGAAACAAAAAAGCTAATCTGAAAGCCTTGCTGAAACACACACCATTTGGTCTCTAAAATATATTTGTACTAGCTCATTTTAAGGTTTTATTAAATTATTGTCGCTTGCACATACCCAAATCTTACTTTGATTGAGTCATTAATTAGCTTTTGTTAAATTAATTTAAAATGTTAAACTATTATATAAATGTAGCTATTTTAAGTCATTCAATGTGTGGAACTGCAAAAACAATATTTAAGACCTAGAGTCCACAGGGCTAAACCAGTTGCTAAAAACCACAAATTTTGACTGACACAACAGACAACTCTTTGCAAATACATCACACTGTAAGCATAGACTTTATATGTAGATTGTTCCTGCAAACCAGTTTTGTCATTTTTTTTTGTGTGACACCATTGCCTACATTCACATCCTGGCTCTTTGTTCCCCCTTTATGATCAACCAATATCTCGGCTTATTTGTCAAACCAATTTGTTCAATTCAAAAACTAATTGCGGTGCAGGTGCAGAGAAAACAGTTGCCAATCTCCTCATTGCTTTTATAGTTGCAAGTCATGATGCTGTAAAGCAGTGGTCCTGCTTTAATAATCAACAGACAGAAAAGGCAGTAGTGTGGTAGGCTTTAGATAATAAATTAACATCAAAACCTCTCAAGAAAAACAGTCTGACAACCTTGACTAATATCTAACTGGGATTAAAGTGTAATATAAACTCATAAAAATCACAGTGTAATTCAAAAGCAGATACCTCATCTCAACCATGTGGCTATAAAGACATACTTCTGTTTAAGCTGCCTTTGACTGATTATAAATCACCAAGTATGTTGATTAAATACTACGGATATGTTCATTTTTTTTTTATAAATAGAGGCATCACACAAGCCGAAGGAGACAGGGAGAGGTTTATGTAAGGCACTATGCTTTCAATTTTGAGTCAAACATCTTCCGATCTTAATAATAGGCCATGACACATGCCAAAAAACACTCTTGTTACTTTTATTTTAACAGTTCCCACCCCACCCAATAAACTTTAATGTAGAGAAGCATTTCTCCTCAGATGTTGCACCAGAGTGATTCTGGTGTGTTTTTGATCCCTTGTGCCTAGTACATGTCATCCACTACTCCACAAACTCGAGCTGCCAAGCCAACTTTTTCTTAGATATAACTCGACTATTGTGGCAAGCCACTCTACCTTGGTTGCAACAGCAACGGGTTGACTTCAACTCTTTCCCAATGAACAGAGAGAGAGACTCCCAGACTTTGCTTTAAAAAGCAAACTCAAGTTATATATATAATTCCCCCTCTATAAAACAAAACGCCAGAGTCAGAGTCTCAACCATTTTTTTGTTTTAGATCGTTATTTAACTGGATAAAATGTACACTTATGAACAACCAACGTCGACATTCTGTGAACATCTCTCAATGATGTCAGACAAGATGCTTTTACAGAATGGAGTACTGTTTATTTCAGCCTTGGGATCCATGTTAGCGTCCATTATAGTCTAAGTAGATCTTGCTCAAACATATAAGGTCGAAACCCTTTTAGCTAGAAGGGGTCTGACCATTGTCTTATTGGACTCCATCCGAGTTGTATTACTTAGATGTAAAAAAAAAAAAAAGTATCTGACAAATAATGGCTCAGAACACAACTCAGAATCTGACAAACGCTGCTTATCCAGTATGGCATTTAGTAAAGCCTTGAAATTTGCATCCTTGATTTGAGCCCAGTTGTTTAGTACTATTCTCACTATCTAGCGTCCTTACTTATGACCTTATGATATTTTTTTAAACCACAAAGTTAAAAAATTCTGACATTTTAATATGTCCTGTGCTGAAAAAAAAAAAAAACATTTTTAAATTTCCCTGTGCGTTTGTTGAAAAGGAAAGTTACCTTTAGTTATTGCTTTAAAAAATCAATCAGATTAGCAAGTTAAAATATGAGAACAAGACTTTCAATCATCTCTGGATCAAAATATGCTAATTTCAATAAAATTCCCCGCCTGTTAACGAAAATAATCCAGGTCTTTATTTTAAACATGCTACAGCACAAGAGTAGCCATTTTCCAGAAACTAATTCGTATAATTTCTCTTGATACAAGTTTTGAGATGACTGACACAACACAAAGACCTGGAAATAAAACTTGAGCTAAATGCCGACACTGAGCTACATACCAAGCTAATCACACAAAGACATGACGAAGAGCGTTGGTCTTCATCGTCCAGCTACGCCCTCCTAATAATAACAGAGCAGTTGGCTGACACGTGTTCACCAGTATTAAGAGGCAGATTACATTTCAACTCCAGCGGGCAGCTTTATACGCACCCTGGAGGGGCCATCAACTTCATACTTTCATTGAAACTAGAGAATGTGGAGGAGGATAACTCTGGGTCGGCTCCACTGAGCAAACCAAAACAAAAGAGGGGCTGTCTGTTACGTTAAACAGAAATTATAGGAATACACAGGAGTGCATTAATGCGATGCACACCATTCAGTGTTGAATGTACATACCAGCACGCACACACACACACACACACACACACGCACACACACACTGTGTGCAGAATCTGAGCAGGACTTAAGTACCTTAAACCGCTGAACAATGTAGTAACAGCAAATCGACCTCACGTAGCTTTACGTTAGCTCTTAAATGAGTTCATCATGATGCGAACAACCAGCTGGCACCTAAATGTTAGCATTACGATAATATCTTATGATTTCAATCGGCCCCAGCGGAGAAAGGTGTATTTCCACGCATGTGGCAAACAGGTTGTTGCTCTCCAGCCCACCAACCTGATAACTGAGTTAGCTCGTCTTGCTAAGAGCAGAAAAGAAGCTAACCACAGCTAGCTAGCAGCTTAACATGAGCCGTTAAGACATTCATTTTGGCTGCCGATCACATACACACAATCGGAGCCGAGACTCCACAGAAGCCTTTCTCTACTGAAAGCTTACCTTTAGAGTATAGAGATTTAGGGGAATTGAGGTCAATATCCGAGCTAAGGAGGGATATAAAATCAGAGGGCATCGCAGCGCTTCATCGAGGGGGAGGAGGAGCGGAGAGTCTTCAGTGGAAACGGAGTCGGATAAATCCTGCGCTTCAAAGGCCAAATTCCGTGCCGTACATAGTATAGCATCGAAACTATTTCAGAGAAACCAACATAAAACTTCAAATTCCTGAAAAAAATCCCGTTATCTACAAGGTCTCCCGCTTATGAATGTGTGTGTCTTTGCTGATAGACACGTTTCGCCCAACGAACACACACAAACACACACACACTTGACTACTGTTGGTCAGCCCATCTAGCAGCCCCGCCTACTAAAATGTGGGGCGCATGCGCTCTGGCTGCAATAAGAGAACTACGGCTTCCCATCAAAGGCCATATTTACAAAATTGAGCATCTACATTAAATAAGTTATTGTATAAAATCTAGGTAAGTAAATGAAAGTTCATAATTCTTTGAATGCGTTAATTTAGCAAATACATGAAAATCAAATTAACAGTAAAAATCTTAATTATTTCCTTACCTTTTTATATAGTTGCTGAGCTGCAGCACACCATGAAATCATTCAAGCTGCCACTGGTTTCTGTCAAATAAACCGCAACATCTGATTGGTTGACCTGTTTAAACCAGTCAGCTTCTGACCATTCATTTAAACAAGGATCAGTTTTAGCCCGCCCACTGCTTCATTGCATCACTGCCTTAAACTGAAAAGCTCATATCTTATTCATAAATCATACAATCAACAGCACGGATTAATTTAATCTGTCAAGTATATATGAATTAAACTCGATGGTGCAGGACTGACTTTGATCAGGCAAAACAATTTGTTTGAAGGTCAGGTTAGCCAATCAAATGTTAGTATTTATTTCAAAAAGTATGAAACAGAAGTTTGTAACCCCCTGCTTTCTCTTAGAGATAAGCAATAAATTACATTAAAGTGTTTTTGGGTACGCTATTAAGGCTAAAATAGCACATACTTAGAATCAGGACCTATAAAATGTACCCAATTTCCTTTTCCCTTTTTTTGTAAAGATGATGTTCAATAAATGAACTTGCAAGTCCATTTTTTGAACATTCAAGTTCAATAAATGTTCAATTCACATTGTAAACTTCCCAGTCAGGCAGGCCACCTGTAACAGAAGAATAGGGTGGTTAACAGGCAGGTAAAGCAGCAGGAACAGGTGGATGCAGCTGGTTTTGCATACAGAGGAACTGAAGAGGTCCTGTTCAAATTGAGGCCATCAGACAATAACCAGGCTCAAAGCTGTAAATTCTGTCTTACATGTTACTTACATATGACGTTAATTTGCATGTCTTATTTCAGTTTTATTTTGATTGGATTCCAACCTGGTGATATTAGCTTTACCGCTTCATTTTTATTTGCTTACCATTCATGATTCTTGTTGAAAGTTAAATTTTTTGTAGTATGATCCAATGCAGTTTAAAAAAAAAACAACAAGAAACAAACAAACAAACAAAAAATATTTTATTTGTTTAATCTGTCATCAATATCTGCTTATCCTTGCATGGTTACAGGCTACATCCAGCTGTCATCGGACGAAAGGTATGGAGTTAAATTTCTTTCACAATTATTCAATCAAAAAATCTAATGTCAATAAAATAAAATAAAATCTTGATCAAAACTTTAACTTTTTTTAAATCACCAATTTTTATTTCATAAAGTGAAAAAGTTATTTCCAAATATTTTAATTTTATTTAATTTTTTTTGACGTTAAAAATTTTGATCACAATTTTATTTTTAAAAAAATTCATATTAGGTTTTTTTTTATTGAATAATTGTGAAACAAATTTAACTCCATACACTTCTGACACATTTGTATCCGCATTAAATTGTATATTTTTTTTTTTACAACGTATACGGCAGAGATTAATTTCCTCAATATCCCAGAAGGCACTTCGGCTGTCGTCAACGTGTTGTTGCGGAAGTGCCGGGTGAGCATTTTTCTGATAGCGTTTTTAATCTCCCAGAGCAGCTATCTTTGTAGCTGTTATTGTGCTTGTCCGCGAAACAGCGCCGTGTCTGTGGAAAGCTTGAGCAATGGCAGCTCTGAAATACGCTGGTATGGACGATACGGACAGTGAAGATGAGTTACCGCCTGGATGGGAAGAGAGGTCCACCAAAGACGGTTGGGTTTACTATGCAAAGTGAGTGGGAACCTCTGGATGTGCGCTGTCAGACTATCCCTGCAGGACTCAGACGTCAGTGTTATGTGTTAAAATAAACAATTGGCTTTAGCTGCAGATATTTAAGCTTAAATAAAACAAAGGGAGCTCACATTGTTTGGGGGTGGCCTTAATGTCTGGATGTAAATCTGTGTGGACAACTTTTTCACTTAATAAGTAATCATCGTTTAAAAACTTTTTTTTTTGTATTCACTCAGGTTGTCCTTGTCAGAGATTATGATTTGTTTTATGTGCTCTTATAAAACATATAGAGTATCTTCCCCCAAAAAAGATACAAATGGGATGATGCATATTTTTACTGCATTGTAAATCTGCCCTAAAATATGTGATGTCATCATCAGGGGACTATAGATAAGAAAGCCTAATCAGGGTTTCATTTGAGAACTACAACACCTTTCCTGTGTCTATAAGAAAGACGAATTCAGTTGCTTAGAGATATTTTGAGTCAATTGAGACAAAAGGGTCCAATTGTATTATCTTTATTAATAGAATAATGATGCCAGAAGAGGGATTTTCTCTTAAATCTTTGGAGGCCAGGAATGTTTCAGAGAGAAGATGCTGTAGATTCCTACTGGAAAAGATTGAAGATGAGGTGTTGGTGTAGACAACATTACGACCAGGTTGCAAAGACGCTGACACTTTGCAACCTAACATTGACATTTTTTGTGTTTCTAACAAATCATTTGTTTATTACTTGAATTTAGGTCACAGCTCTCATTAAAGGTGTGAAGCCTCATTTGTCCTACATCACAATAACCTTGCATTTCTTAACAGTTTCAGAATCACTTTTTTTTTCTTAAACTAACAGTACTTTTTAAATATTGAGTTAACATTCAACATTTCATCTTAAGAAGTCTGTAGATTAAATTCCTTCTTTTAGCTCAGTTTAATTCATTAACACTTGATGTGATATATTATCACACTAAATACTGTCGAGAGAGGTGGCATGCTGGGTTATGTGGTCCTTATTGTTTCCCCTTGTGCCAACAGCCATGAAGAAATGAAGACACAGTGGGAGCATCCGAAGACAGGAAAGAAAAAACGTTGTGCTGGAGGTTTGTCTGGAGTGATATATTTAATACTGAGATTTCCAAATTGTTCACCTTCTTACTCAAGCTACAAGTTAATAATAATAATGCAAACTGAATCGTCTACGAATATATTGCTTTTATGTTAATAGAAATATTGTTCATTATTTACTTTGATTTCTAAAGATGACCTCACCCATTGATGTGTGACCCCCGGTGGTTTCCCAACCCATATTTTACAGGTCATCTAGCATGTTCCACAGATTTATAGCACATAGCTTAAGACAATTATTTTTGTGAACATGTATGAGATCAAATAAAGTTGCGTCAGTGCTCACATTTGCTGTCATTGTGTTGAATTCTTATACATTTGCGTGTAGGAAGCTTGCTAAGAAGGTGTACAGATGTTGATATTTATTGTCCTGTAACCAAACACACATGTATTTTTCTTTTGCAGATTTACCATATGGCTGGGAACAGGAGACTGATGAAAAAGGACAGAAAATTTATGTTGAGTAAGTAAACAAGTTGGGGAAAAAAAAACCTTCTTGTCGAAATAGAACCTATGTGTCACTTTCCTTCAATTGTATCTAATATCCCCAATGGAATAGGATAAAGTTTGCATTGTACAGTGACTTAGTGAGTTTGAATACTTTTCCATACTCACTATGGATTCATTGCATGTTCCAATGCATCCTGAGAAATTCTGTCTCTTTCAGTCACATCAACAAGCGAACCACCTATTTTGACCCCCGGCAGGCGTTTACAGTGGAGGACGTGATGATGAAGCCGAAGCGTTACGATGGAAACACTGCTGCGTTGGAAATTCTTCAGGGTCGTGACCTTTCTGACAAAGTGGTCCTCATCACTGGAGGCAACTCTGGTATTGGTAAGTCCCAGTATCTGTTTTATTTCTTTAATAACAATTTTTATATGCTGGCAGTTGTTTCTGAAACTAAAAAAAGAAACTGCGTTACCACAATATTTCCACCAGGTGGCGACAGTGCACCTCAATAAGAGGATGCTCTAACACAGTGACTCTACTCCCCTTTATGTCCCCATCCTTCCGCAAGCAGACATTCATCAACATTAGCCTCCAAAATGATACACTTAGACTCAACAAATCACTCCTTAATACCGAACATGACTGCATTGAAGTTCATTAGTAGGGCTGAATTGGATGTCATTGTTAACCGTAATAAATGGTATCCATTTGTACCCAGCGAATGCACGGCTCACCATATAATGGCCTGGAAACAAATGTATTTCCTTTTTGCTTTAGTTTAGATTAGCACAAGCTCTGGCCATTTGTTCACACTTGCAGCTTTGTGCGAGCTAGATGATGACAGCGTGAGGGAGATCAAATAAACATAAAATCGTTAATTGTCTTTATATTCAAATTCGTTGTCCATAGGAAAATCACAGCAGCGTAATTGCTGTGCGTGTCTATTATGCGCTGCTGCAGGGCAGAGATATAATATATAGATTTACAGCTGCTCAGGGGCCTTCGCTGAACAAAGACTTCATCGACTCGATGCTCCTGTTTTAATCTTTGCATAGAGTCTTTAGTAATTTCATGGAAAACAGATGATCCATGTTGGGATATATTCATCTGTTGTTTTAAAGAAAATCACTTAAGACTTATTTGGAAAAAATGGTCAATTTTATATTTACTTATCCAGAAACTGCATTTGTAGGTGTGGTTCCTGATTTGAACCAAATATGTCCATTTGGGACAAGCGTTTATCACAGAAGGATGGACTTAGTGGTGTGTTTTTTTTTTAGGTGTAAAATATTCTGAAAAATCTTCTTTGGAAGAGATAAAATGACTTCCTATGGTAAGAGAGTGGTGCCCTTGGAGTTTGTTCCACCTTCAGACACAGTGTCTGTACACGGTACTAAAAATACTTTTTTAAAGCAGTGAAGTTTGCTTACTCTCACTCTCGGCTCTGCTGTGTCCTGCCACAGTGCTGACCTCTCAAAATTAGACACTCACACTCTTTAAACATTTTCAAACTTCACAGCACAGGCTCAATTCTCTGTGTATTTTACTGGGATTTCATGTGCTAGATCATTATAAGGTAGAGCAGAATTGTTTTCAATTTCCTTTACATATCTAAATCTAAAAAGTGCAATATGCAGTTGAAATGAAGCACTTTTACTTTGATAAGTAGAAATCCAGTCCAACCAGTTACCATCACTTACTTAGTAAATGGAGGCCAGTTGTGTGTACCGGTAATATAATCTCAACAGACATAACGTGTCTATTGAGTTGGGTGGAACTTAAACAGTAGATCTATTTATTTATTTATTGTTAAAATGTCTGTTTTCTTTTTCTGTCTGTGGAGCTCATTATTCATAACAAAATGTTTTCTTCAGTTTTTTTGGAAGAAAAATTGTAAGGCTAGGTGTGACAAAACCGACCTTAGGATGGTGCAATAACCGAGCTGGTGTTAAATAGAAAAAAAACCCCAGCGTTTTTGTCTTATTTAATCCTTTTTTTTAAATTTTGTATTATTTAATCCTTATTTTATAGACAGAATTTACTAAGATGTATTGCACTATTCTTATAAACTGTAGTACAGCCTGAAATTAAATGGAAATGTTTATCTCAAGTGTGTTGTGTTTCCTTTTAGTCAGTCTGTTAACTTAATATTTTTGTATAATTTAGTTAAGAAGTGCATTTAGTCAACATTCAGTTAATACAATTTTGTAAGGGTTGACTAAACTTGACGTAACGTATATGATTTAATTAAAAAAAAAAATCCAACCTTGCAAACATGAAAAAAAGGTATTGTCCTTGATGGACAGCTAACTATTCAGCACATCTGTTATTGGTATAATCATTTGGTTTTTTTTTTAATTCTTATTAGTTTTTATTATTCACGGTAACATTTTTATTTTTTGCTAAAATAAAAGATGACTTTAGAATCAATCATTTCATTTATTTCTTACTAGTTTTCACTTTGTGGTGCCAAAATCAATATGTGTTTTTACAAAATATAATTTTGACAGTGATACTTTTTCATATTTCATCTAAATAGTATGGATAATGAAGAAACCAGAAGCATTGATGAGATATTAAAACATATAAAATATACATATTCCTTTTAAAACAGTGGCACTCCTAAAATAACTTTTTTAAGACGGCTGCATGCATGCAAGCTGAACCCCACCATTCAGGAAATATTTAGTGGAACTGTAGAGGGTGTGAAGCTAACCGCCTTATACTTTCAATACCAATATTATCTATTAACTAACTGCAAAAGGTGCAACATTCCCACCTGTAATTATCTTTTGCTGGAACTGCATAGAAAGAAAGAGGATGGATGTTCACAGTTTTACCACAAGAGGGCACAGGAGGACTGCTGTTCGGCTTTTAAACCATTATCACGAGAAATTCCTTCTCATGTGTTTCTTTCATTACTTTGTCATGATTAAAAACATAATAATGAAACATAGAACCCACATTTAGCATTTACTGTGAAGTATTTGGTAAAAATAAAGGTGTTTATGTGGGGTAAAAAAAAAATCAGATTTCCTCCAGACTGTCTCAGGTAGCTACACCCCACAGACATTTTCATAGTGTATGAATTCTTAATAAACTCATATTAACATAACCTTTGTTTTACTCTGCCCCTTATTAAAAATGCAGCGGCCGTAATTAACAATATTCTTGTAGTAATTGCTTCTTGTTGCGTCGTCCTTTGACGTTCCTAAAGTGAAATGTGGTTATGCCAATTGCTTGGACCCACTTAGCATTTTAATAGCATCAATAGTGTTTTAAAGCACGTGTCAAAGCTATTTCCACGTTCCCCAGCGCTCACGTCTTCCACAGGAAGGGTGACATTTTTATTATTAGTAATGGTAGGATATTATTTAATTAGAAAAATTTACATTTGAGCTCCTTAATTTTACTCTTAATGCATGCGAACATGAAAAGTGCACACATTAATTTATTTATGCGTGAAATACCACGGGTTGGTGAGAAGCCTGGAAGCTCCGGCGTGCCCGTCGGTGGGAGGCGAGACGGTAATGCAGCTCGTCTTGGCGGTGTTTGCAACATTAGTCTTCCTCTCTCTTGCTTTCTGTTGCAAATTAAAAACCTGTAGCGACCTGAGTGGTGATTTTTAATTGTGATAATGGGAATGAATGATCGTGGTTTGTCCCCCATCCCTCCTCTCTCTCTCTCTCTCTCTCTCTCTCTCCCTGTCCTTCCCAAAGGTTTGCTCTCTCGCATAGACCTGTGGTGGTTCACCTGTACCTCTGCATTGATTCCTAAACGGCTGTGACCCAAGCCTGAGCCTCCTATCCATCCCCATTACGCACTCCTGCTCTGGCTCTAATTCCCTGCTATCAGCTAACTCAGGTTATTTACTGGCCAGAGGTCCATGGAGCATTTATACTTAAAGGACCTTTCTCATGAAATCTCCAGGCCCCTCCGGTTTGAGAGACAAAATACTTCTTTTTGTGATAAATATAGAATGAATACCATGTATGAAGCAGCGGATTTATTATGATCTATACCCTAAAATATGATCTCTGTTAAAGCGAGACTATATTTGTATTGTCATCTGTTAGCACAGTCAGTCACATGTGCCCTCTGACAGCTCTTTTGGGAAATATATGTGGGTTTACGTATCCCACAACCTGAGGTACATCATCAGTCAGCCAGTTGCCATGTTGTCAACACAATGTATGTTTAATAGTGGTCAGAAATAACACGTTGACCCCTGTCTCACCCAGACAGATTATTCAGACAGGCACAACTGCCTTGAATGTGCTTTATTTATTTATTTTTTTTTAGCTCCTGATCCAGCACAATAGATACAGAAAACAAATATATAGCTATTTGTTTATTTATCCTAAAACAAACAACAAAAAAATGTTTTTTTTGGCCTTTGAATAAACTTTTCACATTCTTATTAGTGGTAAGAATGTGAACAACTTTGTTTTAGCTGTCACTGATTGTAATATTGTTTCAACTTATGTGTCCTTGTTAGCAATTCACAAGTGAGGCTTTTCCCCCCCCCCCCCCCAAGAAAATGACTGTTATTTTTTAAAGTCTAACCTGACAAGTTAAAATTAAAAAAAAAAAAGTTTTATTTGCGGCTCTAGCTTCCTTTATTCATTAGTAGATGGACAGGAAGAAAAGTGGGGAGAGAGAACCAGGAGACATGCAGCAAATGGTCCGGGGGTGGAAGCTGAGCAGGGGACAACTGCGTTGAGGTCTGTAGCCTCAGTAAATGGTGATCTCCCACTGAGCTATGTGATGCCCCAACAATTTAAATTTGATTAGGGATTATGTGACATAACAGAAAAAAACAAAAAAAACAACAACACTGCAGGGTTCTGCAGAGCTCCTAACTTTAAGAAAATGTAGAAAACATAACAAGGGATGAGACGATCCCTTGTTATGTATCAAAGAATATACCCCATAAATATATCAATTTTTTTTTATTAAACTGAGATAAAAATGTTTTTTTTGTTTTATCTAAATAATGAAATACATTTTTTTAGTGTTATAACTGCTAATCAGTGATTAGATTTCACCAAAGAAAATTCGGCAAATTCCAATTTTCTGTTTTCCTTTAAGATCTGAAATGCAAATTTCCGTTTATTTCAACTTAAAAAAAAATAAAATATATATATATATATATATATATATATATATATATATATATATTTATATATATAATGCCACACAAAAAAAAAAAAAAAAAAAGAACTATAGTTTCCTTCACAGGGTAGCTTGGAATCTAACTGAAATTGAATGAATAACAAGATTATCTGAGTTTATACAGCAAAACATTTTCCCCAAACCTTCACCTGATTTTCAGTGCACTCCAAAAAGTGTGTTAAATTGCATGGTGTTGTCTGTTGCATGTA